GCCGTAGCGCTGGAGGGGCCGGAGGTGGTGGTGCGCGATGAGCTCCTTGGCCCACCGCGACAGCGTCACCTGCTGCGGACGCGGGAGGGATTTGATCTGCTGCAGCACCTCCGGCATCCCACTGAGGACCACCATCAGGGTGAAGAACCCCGCGAGGGGCATCAACGGGCCGCCGTCGTCGGGGCCGGCCTCGGCCTCGGCCTCGACCCCGGACGTCGCCGAGGCCGCCACCAGCGCGGCGACGTCCACGACGGTCGACAACTCCCACCCATCCGGGGCGCCTAAGGTGCGATGGGCGTAGTCGTTCATCTGCCGCACCAGAAGGGTCAGGAGCTCGCGACGGAGCACCCAGTTGGTCGCCCCTTTCCCCCCGTCCCCGGGCGCGTGGTCCTTGCCGTTTAACGCGTCAATCTCCTCCAGCGACCCGAAGGCCTGGGGATCCACGTAGTGGAGAATTCTGTACAAAATCACCCCCTCCGCCAGTTCCTCAAAGCTCACGAGCTCGTCGTTGAGAGTTCCACCAGGGTTGAGGTGCAAAACGTTGACAACGAGCCTGTTAATGAGCTTCACCGTAGCGAGCTTTCTTTCCTTCGTCAAAGTAGACATTTGCTCTTAGCCTTTAGTCTAGCTTGGTCTAACTTACCCTTTCAAAGACTATTCCTTAGTGAAAGGGGTGCGGTGTATGGATGCACGTAAAAGGTACAGTATGAAATTATCCTCTCGTACACTTAGATCGGATCCTTTTTTTTGCTCCGACGCTTTCAATAACAAAATAGTGATGTATGTTCTTCTAGAATACAAACTAAAAATAAATGGTGAATTAAGAGGCGCACGCGAAGAAACATTAAGAAATAAGAAAACGTAGTAGGTCATTCAAATAGAAATCGCGACAAAATACAACACAACAATCTTCACAGGATTCATAGCTTTAAAGTGAGCATATAGATGCATGTATGGTCAAAAAGGGGGCACATGAGAATGCGGCACGACTACTTCAAACCCCTAATTGAAAAAGAAAAAAGGATAACTCCCAAGTTGCACGTGCTACCCGTCTCTGTTGGATTACACCAGAAGAGGGAGAGCAAGAATCAATGGATATAAGCATTAGTGCTATAACAACCTTATCAGATCTAAAACAAACCAAAAAATGCTGATGTTGTCTCTGTCTATGCGTTTCACCCATTCAAACCGTAGCGTTGCCAAAACTTTAAAAGGTTTCAACCACTTCGGCGTTAAGGAACGGCCGGTTCTCATCCGAATGATGTTTAGACGAATCCCACGGTGAAAACATCGAGGTAAGCTCCCCTGCACACGCGCCCACATGATCGCGATCGGCCGGCGTGTCTGCCGCCTCCTCCGCCCCCACCCCACCCTCGGCGGCCTGGAAGGGGCGTTCCGCCTCCTCGTCCTCCTCCCACTCTTCACTCGTCGGAGGCTGGGGTGGCAGGGGGGAAAGGGACGCGCCCCAGCCCTTCAACAACTCCGCCGGGAGCAGCTCCCGCAGCTCCACCGACGGCGCCTGCTGCAGCACCGCTCGAATGTACATGCGCCCTCGTCGGTGGTCGTACGTCAGCGACCAGAGCGCGGAAACGGCGAGCTCCTGCCGCCGCGCGAGCTCGCGAGGGGGCGCCCCACACGCCGCCTCCTTTCCCTTCCCCACCGTTGGCGGCGCGCGACGAAGGATTTTGGTTGCCCAATCCACCACCGCCGGATTCGCCGGCTCGAGGATCTCGCGACGGAGGGCCTCCCCTCCCCCGCCCCCGCCTCCTGCCTCCGCCGCCTTCGAATCCACGAGCAACGGCCCCACCGAGGGCATCCCCGCGAGTGCCGCCTTCAACGTCAGCAGCACCCGCGCATCCTGGCAGAGCACCGTCTTCAGCCCCACGTGAAAGCAGAGGTTGCGCAGCGTGAGCAGCGCGAGGGCGCCCGCGACGCTCGCCTCGCCCGCGAGCTCCACTAGAATCGTAAACAACGTGGTTTGGTGGAAAATCGCGCGTTGGGCGTCCGCGTGGAAGGAAATCGCGGCCGTCAGACGAAGCAACGGAAGGGGAATCGACGACGAGGACGAACCACACGAGGAAAGCCCTCCCCCTCCCCCTCCCAGGCGGTCGTGGGCGCGAAAAAGCCCCTCCAACGTCCCCACCCCGCGGTG